CTACTACTACTACTACTACTACTACTACTACTACTACTACTACTACTGTTTTGGTTATAGTTTGACAACTTGTTAACAACCGCTATGGATCCACTGCCACCCTCTAAGGTACGGTGAAGAAGGAGACCCTCAAATTGTAGGCAAAGTGAGGGTCCACGCACCTTCACAGAGGGTGGCAGTGGATCCATAGGGAAATAGAGTTTACTGTATGCAGTTGTGTTCTTGCTACTAGTAACAAGGGCATTACTACTAGTAGCAAGGTGCCTTACTAGTAGCTTGTTGCTAGCAAGGCAGTACTGTAATCTAACATTTTTTGTAAGGAAGTGTCGCGAGGTGAGGAACTGCGACGGGCGATTAGTGAACTTAGACGGGCGAGAAACTCGAGCTGTGATTCCGCTTTGGTGGGGGGGAAAATGCCCTTGTTCCTACAAGGCCAAGATGGGCCTAGGTATGTCTAGGTATGTAGTTTGGTCAGCGACCCCGAGACGGGTGAATGTGGCACCCCTCAGCTTTTGATGACTCATCTAATGTTGTACTGTAATCCCCAAATCTTTGCCTTACGCCAAAAAGCTTTTCCATCACTCACCTGATCTCACGACCCAAGCCTCTAAGCGATGCACCGCCCCTCGCGTTGCCTGGATTGTCATATGAAGAATGCCTTCGGTTGGTCTCCGATCAAGTTTCAAGCCAGCTGTTCGTGCTACAAGAAGTTGATGAGCACTGTAGAGGGGCCAGTGGTCGGAGCCAGCACTCCTCATCAGTTTTGACTTCCCCTAACATCAACTGCCGAGTCTGCATTGACTGATTCGCCTGAACATCCTTTAGCATGGTTCAACTTCAACATTAAAACCATCAGATCTAAGGTAAAATGAACTCACTGTTCCCCCCGAGTTTGGCCCAGTATCTAATCTATGCCAGGGTCCAGGCAAGGAAGCACGGTGGTATGTGTCCTACATCAATCATACATCCCTATGCTTTTAGATGCGTGGAAGCAGAAGCGACGTCATATCGGTAGTTGGATATCCTTTGGTTCAGAAACTCAGGGGCATACAGAACCTTGTGGTTGGTCTAAGCCACTTGATTCATTGTGTGTTCTCTACGTGGGGTTGTTTGTCACTTGAACCTCCACCTATTAAAGTAGCTACGGTGGTACCATGTGGTACCGTACCTCTTTTGTTGGTGTCATCTCTCGTCATGGTCGGTCCTTCGTGTACAGACCCTGACATGACCATCAGACACAACTGTAGCTATGAGGTACGACCAGGTCGACTCCAGGTATTTCCACATAGCATTGAGGATGCAAAAAGTGCTTTCCTGCCTGGGGCCCCAGTGGTTGCCCTTTGAGCTACGAAGTCGAGTGCCGGGGTTGACCTCGCTTGCCAGCGCCCAGGTTGCAGTGGATGTCCAGCGCCCAGTGTTTGCCCAACCGGGTCTCCTTCAGCGCAGCGATCTCTGCCTGCGAAAAGGCCTGGCAGTGGCAATGGGCGCTGCACCTGCAACTTGGCGGTAGAGAAGTTGCGTTGTACTTCTGGGGAATCACTTAGACTTATGGGTCAAAACCTGGAGCCATGTAGCGAACGACTTGAGGGACGGACCGGCAGGTGTCCTGAAAGCGAAGCAGAGTACCATGAGGATCATCAGCTGGAATGACGTCGGTCAGTATGGTAGTGGATCTGGTCTTAGTGGTCCATGAAGGCGAAGTCTTTCGGCGTCTCGCTGTGTCCTTGCTTTATGACCTGGAACTTGACCGGGATCAAGGTATAGCTTAGCAATCGTCTCTGCGTCAAATGGTGCCTGTGGTCCACTGGACACTGGATGATAGACTCGTCTTCTAAAAGGCATTGACAGGCTTGGAGGGAGACCATTGCATGCGGTGATGTCTGCCACGTTTGACACTGGAACGTGTGCAGCCCTGGCGCATCTTGCCTTGTTGCGACCAGAATCGGTCTTGGTCGCGACTGTGGGAGTATGTCTTCAAGACTTGGTGTGTCATCCTCTGATGGCAAGCTATGGCTTTGGCCACATGTTCGATCCACTTTCAACGGCACGGTCCTTCGACACAATGGTCGTATCCGATTTCTAGCTGCGACGGATGTAGAGGACTTGGCATTTAAACCTCCCTATCATCCTGATGGGGTTGTTTCTATGCAATTTGCGAGTGCCGAATTTGTTGCCCGGCCACCTTTGTCCCTTACGTATGAGCAGTGTTTTCTTTATCGGCGTTATATTCGCAAAGCATGGGCCAAAGGTGGTGATCTTGATGCAGTGCCGGTCCCCTCACCACCGAAGTAGGTTCTTGAACTTGCTACATGCAGAAGCCACGAGGATATTCGGTCTCACGTAGCTAGTCTGACCTTATGATTTGTTTTTGTTTGATGTGTACAGTGCATGTTTTGTAGATACTCTACCCAACTCCCCAGTACCCACCAAGAGGTGAAGGACTCGGGGAAGCGCAGACCCTGGAGCGCAAGTGATGTCGGTAGGTCAACCAAGGTATCCTGGTGCCATGATCCACAGCCACTTAGATCGGTTTCAAGTCAAAGTGGTGAAACAAAAGCATTTCGCATACGATGCTTGACCCACAAATAGACTAGCTTGGGGTATGGGAGTTACAAAAAGAAATGAACAGCGACTGCATCATCTCGAAGCGGATCCATTATGGGGGTTGCTGCCTCCTTTCTAGACAAACAAGTGGTAACAGTGAGATCCATCCTTTAGTTGCCAGCTCGCCATCGCTGCCAAAAACATGTTCATGAACACCGCGCAAATGTTGGACATTGCAACATCATGGAACGTCCTTTTGTATGGTCATACGGGTTTTCTTCAGTGGTGCATGTATGCATCTGTCCTCCATCAAGAACCTGGGTGTTTCTCACAGTATATTTGCAAAAACTGAGCTACAGCAGACTGCCTGCAAAGAGAAGACATGGTAGACAAGCAACTCATAAGCTGTTTGGTTGGAGTGGTGTGGTCATCGGTCATCGTGGAAGAATTTTCAGAACACTGTACCCCTACGATGGAAGGCTGGTTACGAAGATTGATAACCAGTTTATGTTCAGTTCCCGGCAGTTTGTCTGGCTCACTCACATGGAAGTGGATGGCACCCCCTGTGTCGTAAAACAAAACCACGTTTTCCTTTCTTGTCCATCCACGTAACCATGTGATGTGAAACAGAATGATGGCCACTCGGACGCACCTCCTTCCGCCGAACTCGGACGCACCGCCACCAGCTCCACTCCGGACCCATCAAGTCAGTCGTACCGAACCAGACAGGACCCTCGGTACGACAGCCTACAGAACAGCGTCGAACAGATCACCTTCTCAGAGGGGTGGATCTTTAACTCCTCTTCTTCGCATGGAATTGCTCTGAACTTCTAGCATTGAACAAAACCGTTTCTGTGGTGTTTTGAGTGAACGTGTTTCCGGAAAGCCGATCGCCAAGGCCGGAGGCCAAACCCTGCAACCGTCCGTATGCATGGTGGTTTACATGGAGTCCGGAGCACGCACTCTGCCGTTTGCCCAGGGACAGGCCATTAATAATTCCACGTCCAAATTCGGCAGGGTCGCGCCAGCCACTGTTGGAATCTGAAATGGTATACCGTAATATGGTGGTATTGAACACTGTAATTAGTTTGATGAAACTTAAACTAGTTGACATACCCATACATACCCTTCAAGTTCCCCTCTGTGTCGCTTGGCTTCCCACTTTCACTGGATCGACAGACCACGAACCGCCCAGGTTCCGCGCGATGCCTGCCGCAGGACTGGCGCCGCAGGCCATCAGCTTTAGCGCGACGATCAGTGCCTGTGCGACTCGGTCAGCGACCAGACGTGAGACCGCCCTGGGTAAGTGGGGATGTCTTGGTTGGGGGGTCGAAGTCTGACTGGGGATCATCAGATGCAGAAAGACGATCAGATCAGTAGATCAGCGTTCGTCCTTCTATTTTGGGGTTCCTAAAGCAAATCCATGAGGGAACCTGTTGAGGTTTCATAGATAAGTAAGAAGCTATATGCATAGTAAGCCAATGATGAGCAGCTGGAAGATGATTCAGTGGTTTCAGTGCCGAATCTATTCCCGTCACTGGCGCCTGAGATGGGATTCTGGAAAAGGCTCCGCAGCATGGGTCGAAACTGGGTATATAGTTTTGTAATTTTTTGTATTAGTGAGTATATACTTGAGTACTTTGAGACGCCAGATATAGTCTGGGGATCCAGGTACCTCAGAATGTGCGACGACCTTACAAATAGGAACCGTAACCTGGTATCTAGTCCAACAGTTGGGTTCTTCAACAGTAGGGTCCGGTAGCTCCTTTTCGGATGGAGAAACGAAGCTGAGTACGTGCCCGAATAGATTGGTTCCTTAGCTTTAGGTTATCAACTGCAGGCGGACCAGATGAGTTACCAGCTAACCGACCACTTGCCCCAAGGAGAAAGGTGAACAATGGCCCTTTGCTTTGCAGTTGCTGCGCGAGCTGCTGAGCGAAGAGTGGTTGTCGCTTTTTGGGTTCGAAGAGTTGTTTTTAGCTGTGAAATGCATAGAGGGACATGAGGGGTCCTCTCAAATACAATTTGGACCCGAGCAAACGCAAATAACCCTCTTACAAACAGGGACTTGTACCCTTGTTCTGAGGTATGCACCAGCGATATCCACGTAGTGTTGATGGAAAAATCCTTCTCTACCAAGAAAGCCAAAGTTTAGCTTAATTATGTAATTCCCCAACCTTCAGGTGGTTCCCTCAAAAGCTGCGAATGCTGCGTCTTAAGAGACTGTGGGCAAGATGAACAGTATTCTTCTAGCTGCTGCTTAGGAGGTTAAGGAGGCGGGGATATCCGTATTCCCCATCAAACAGGGAGCTGCTCAGAACTACATGGAGTTCCCCAAGCCGCGACTGCCGGTCTTTCGATTGATCCGATGTCTAGGTGATCAGGTGAGCTGGTGTCTCCATCGCATTCGCTGGGTGAGCTGGTGCCCGATGTCTCCCGACGAAGACCTTCCGGTAAACCATGTGTTTCTTCTCAAGAAGAAGCTGAACAAAAACACAAGGTGACGGTATACCCTCTTCCTTTTGCTCAACAAAAAGAAGAGGTGTAATGAGGCCCTGCCTAGCTTGACCATTTTTTGGGAGAAGAACACATGCCCTTCGATTTCACAAGAAAGAGACGCTGGCAGAGACTCGCAGAGAACGTCGTGCTGGCTAAAAGTGGACGGATGACGAGTCCTTTCTCAATTTAAACACAGTTTTGACAGCTGGGTTGGATGAAATGAAGTGCTGGTTTTTACATGTGGAAGCTTGAAATGAAGTGATGGTTTTTACATGTGGAAGCAAACTACGAACAGCGCTGGTGGACATCAGGACATCCTTTATAATCAGTGTGATTCATATCACCAGGGGCATCCCTTGTGTCACCCCCCCCCCCAACACACACCTCGAAATCGGTGTGCTCCAGAATCTGTGCGTTGGCTAGGATGTCATCGGCCCAGTTGGCTTACGATGTGTTCTGCTGCAGTGCGACCATCAGCGCCTGTGAGAAGGGCTCACAGTGGCTCACGGCTTTGGACCTCTTGGAGTTGATGTGACTGGGCTGGTGGCGTTGGACTTGGTGATGCCAACACTTGGAAGGCAACGAAGTGGTCCTCTTTGAAAGGAACGCCGACATAGATCATCATAGATACTGGATGTGGTCCTCTTTCGGAGTTTCATTTCATGTTGTTTGGGTGTATTTCAGGTGACCTTTGTGATCCAAGAGGCAAGACATATCAGCACTTCCGAATCCCAAGATGCCCTGCATGCTGTTTACCTCAAAAAGAATCGCGTGTAGGGCTTTGCTTGAGGTGTTGTCCCACAGGGAAAAATGACCTACCCATGATCCATGTAAGTAAATCTGGCCTACATGTGATGTTCTTTTTTGTGCTGAATGTGGATCATGTTTCCTTGCAAGGAGTGGGAGTGGGGCATGGAGTGGGGGCAGTCGTTGTCGATGTCTTGTTCGGCCACGCAGGCAACGGCAGCAGGTGTCTCCCAACCTCATCAGCTACACTGCAGCCATCGCAGCATGTGCACGTGCTCAGCACCGCGGCCGGGTCTGCTACAGTGTGTGTCCACACTGTGTGTTCAAGGTACTTTTGTGTTGGGCACTGTATGTCCCTTCAATTACTATATATATGGTTGAGTCCTTCTGGCATGTTCTGACTACCTAGGATCATCTAGGACCTACCAAGCATCAATTCCTAGTCTTAGTAAGTCTTAGTAGGGTCATATTCAAACAAATCTGAGTTCTTCATGGTCCATTGGTCTAGCACTTTCCATTGACTAGAGGGTGTCATACTTCTTAGGCTTTGATTCTAACTGCTTTGGATTTGCGCATGGTGTCTCTGCACGGGCCTTGTCAGAAGTAGCCCCTGGAAACCTGGCAATGTTTGGAAAGATGTATCCCAGACAGACCTGTGGGGGACTAGCATATTCACCTACATTCAGGTGATTGAAAAGGGGTCAATGTAGGCAGACAATGGAGCATGCGGGTACAGTGAAAGTCCATGGTCATTGAATCGAATTGAATTACGTCTTGTGAGTCTTGTGGTGAGAGAGTAGGAATCTTGGGGCACTTCTTTCATCTCCCACCAGCGTTCCTTTTGAACATGCCTCTATAAGATCTATAATTCATCGAACCAAGCCAAGTCATGGAGGTTCTTCAAAGGTCATGGCTCCTCCCGTCACCTCCCTCCACCGGGTCGACTGAGATGTTTTCCTCGGGCGAGTAACGTTGACGGAGATGAGGCAATGGAGGTACGCCTTACATCTCTTTGATGTAATGAGGCAGCGGCAGATTTCTGCAGACCATATTTGCCGCAACTTGCTGCTTCAATGCATGTCGAACCAAAAAATCTACGAACTGTTCAAGTCTTCGAAGGGCGAAGAGTGAATATGTTTGGTGGGTGTTCAGACAGATTCTCAGTTGAAGACCGGTGCGAACGAGCGCTAGCAGTGCCCTGGCAGTGACCGGTGCGAACGAGCTCTGAACTAGATTCCCTTTACATGTGTCTTCAGGGAAGACGCACCTTCAAATCAGCCAGGAGCCTTTAGCAATACAGAGAAATCAGAGCTCCAAGCGAGGAATGATAATGAATCATCTATTGTGGCTAAAAACAACTTAAGTGACCCCTTCTGTGGATCCAGACTTTGGCCTTTCACCATCTGCAATCAAACAGGACCTGGAGATGGTCACGTTTCAGGGTGAGACATCACGTTATTATGCGTTATTGAAGTTTACGTCGGCCGGTCTTTTCCTGAAGTCTCAGCTCGTAGCTGCGAAAATGAGTGTACAGTTGCAAGCACCTTCTTTTTGTTTGGGTACCACCTGGAAAAAACAGGTTTGGCTGATGCAGAATCCTTCGATTCCCAGCCTGGAGAATAGATACGGCCCGTCAGCACTGGTCGGTCGCCTGTCTTCGCGAGGGCCACCCCGGCTCCACTCACGAGCTAGTTGGAGCTGTAGGTGCGATTGAAGTCGGGTAGGTATGTAGAATCCTAATTATAAGTCCCTAGGGCTCCAACCATATCCTCAGAAGGTGGCTAAACCCCCCTGTCAACCTCAGAAAGTGGAGCCCTAAGGAGTACCCCGGCTCCCCCAGCGGTCGGGAGTCACATGGACTGTCGGTACAAAGGATCCGATTGAAGGGGACATCACCTATAGGACTGACCAGTGGACTGACCTTGCCGAGACTCGATGGAGTAGCCTGATCATCCCAACTGGAGTAGCCTGAGCTGGGTACTCCAGCAATGCTGTTGGCGACGAGTCGCTGGAAAAGAGGGCGACTTAGGGCGACTTCGCGACTTGAGAGAAGAACACATGCAAGTTTCTTTGATGGTTGAAACTTGACTGAAGAATCTGAAGAATTAATATTAATTTTGCCCCGGCTGGTTCTTTAGTTTGTGCCCACATTGAGTGTCTGGGACTCTCCCGGTTGTTTGCCGTTGGAGAGATGTGCCTTCGCAGCCCGGGAAGGAGTTCCTGGAAGGAGTATGAACTGAGTTCCCCCTGCAGAATACAACCTTTCACCATCTTTCACCCTTTTTGGGTGAACAAAAACAGTGTCAAAAAGTCCAGGTGGAACCTTCACTGCACAGCCCGACTCTCTCATGCCCACCGGATCCCTGGCCCGGACCCGCTCTCCCCCTCCGTTCGGACCCCACGGCTCCGCGCGATCCGAGTCCGGTCCCATGACTCGCGGACGCGAGCGCTGGACCCGACTGGACCTAGATACCTTCAATTAGATACAGATCTTCCGTCACCGGCACGTTGACAGGGTGCAGCGCCGGACTTCCAACTCCGGCGTTTTTCTGGAGTTGGTCCAGCAGTTTTTCCAAGTCACTTGATGTGGATTCTCAAGGCTTTGCATTCTTTGTGGTCCGCACTTATTTGAAGGTAAATCATGGTAAATCCACTACTGACGAATGATTTTGCTTGAAAGTGTGCTCGTCTACCTGTTCCGCTGTTTTCTCATTCCACCGGTTTCAGCAGTGGCTCACACTGGCTCAGTCAGATCCGATTAGATGATCTTCTAAATGAATTCGGTACAGTGCGATGCACGTGTTGGAAGACGCAAGTGTTCCTAAGCTGAAAGAACATATAGGCGGTTATGTATTCCCATTGTTTCAGGATGTCGGGGCGCTGGGATATAGTTCTAGCTGCACAGGTTTGCAGAGCCTGCCGGACAAGCTTTGGGCTGTGGAACGGGTGTTGCTCAGCATCTCAATGTTTGGCACGTTTGGCAGAGAGTTGCCAAACAAAAGCACGTCGTAACTCCGGCGTAATTTTCCGGACTCAGTCTTTTGAAGGTTTTGAATCTTGAAAAGTTTTTTTCTTAGGAGTGCTTTGGCTGGAACCATGAGTTGTCCTACGTATATCACGGGGTCGAGGCCCTGAGGCAAACTATAAAACTCCTGGGGAGCTTTAGAGATACGGTTGCAGAGAAAGAGGGGCTCCTTGCCATATACTCCTTGGTTTGTTCTTCAAATTTGTTTGGGCACAAGTTTATGTATTTTTTTTGTGATGGTTCAGCTCTTAGGCATTTCGGAAGATGGGCGAGGGCAACGGGAACCGGAATGCTCCAGTGTTTGGTTCTTTTAATGAGTGTGCTTCAGAAAAACTACTGGTGGCGCAAAGGCAGTTTGCTTGTGTATGATCCAGCCTTTCATCATCTCTGTTCTTCAAAATTTTGGATCCGGATGTTCTTTCGGTCTTCGGCGTTTTTTAATTGCAATCCGGCGGAAAATTTTGCCGGATTGGGGTCCGGAACTGTTTTCAGACCAAAGGAGGATCCAGGTATATGTCTCAACTGTTTTCGGGTTCCAACTTTGCCTCGTTGGGTGCAGGAGATTGGGTGAAACAAAAATGGATCAGTGACACGACCCGTCTGTGATTGGCACAGGTGACTCCCATCACTTGGGGTGGTTTAATCTTTTAGCTGGTCAATGGTATAAGCATGTATAATCATATTACTCATGGTCATTTGACACATGCAGTGTTGGGGGATGTGGATTTGATCTCGTGCATTCGGTCCACAAAGTGGAGGGTTGCGGCCTGCGACCTCCGGCCAGGCTGCTGGTCGAGGTGGGGGACTTGGATTTTCGACTGCCTGGGATAATGGCTGTCCAGGTGGAGGAATTTGAAAGGAGGCCAAGGGTTGTACTGAGTGCGTTCCACGCTTCAAGCATTTGGTTTCAAACAACGCACTTCTTGCCAAGTTGGTACAAATCACTCTTTGAGCACACAAGGTGTAACTTTGAGCAGTGCATCAATCCATATCAATCTGGAATAGGATTGGCGGTTTGTTTCCGGGGGGGCCGTTCACATGAGATTTAGGCAAAAACTATATAACGTCAGAAAACAATTAAAGTTCCAAACGCTCCACGGAAGCAAATATGGCCTGCATTCACTACCCCAAACCACCCAATGTAGGCCATATTTGCATACACGGAGCGTTTGGGAATTGTTTGAACATCTTAATAAAGGCCCCAAACAAACCATCCGACTTGGGACAGGTGAATCAATCGGAGACGCATGAGGCTGGCCATGATGGGGTTTGCATCATATGCCTGTGCATGCCATGATTCCAGATCCCCATCACGCCCCTGCTTTTGGGGAGCCGATCTGCAGCTCGAGGCATGCAAACATTCTGGATTTCTTGGTGGCTATTGGGCCTTCTCTGGTGAAGATTCGAAAGTTCTTCATTCATGAAATGCCACCAGGGTGGTGAAGGTAGAACATGGAGTTTCAGCACTTTGCACACCACCTGCCTTTGCCTGAATCGAAACATGGCTTTACCTTCGATATCGCCTTTTTGATCCATGTTTATCATTGTTTTTGTTACACACGACATTATAACGACCTGGTCGCCGCTGGTCGGATACCCTATTTACTGTGATCACCCAGCAAACGTGAAGATAGCTGCTCAAAACAGGGTGATCGATCAGTACACACCTTATGCATTGACAAAGGATGAGGAAAGGACAATTGGCAAAATGGGTGCAACAGTGATTGGGTTCAGAGGAACAAAGCAGCAGCGCATCTCGAGCGAAGAACAAATTGATGCTGCATTGACAGACTTCTTGGAGCCCACCCTGGCAAATCGAAGAAGTGGCAAGCTGAGAGATCTAACCAAACCGCGGATCGATTGTTTGTTGAGCAGCTACAAGCTTCAGGACTTACAGCGCAATTTGCGACAAACCAGATGGGGCAAAGACACCGCCAAGATTGTTGATAGCAGATGGCGACCCAGGCCAGGTGATTGCTCTACTGACTATTGCTATATTTGAGCATTGTCTCTACCACAAGCAAGCAGACCGCTCCATCAAACATGGCCCGTGAAGCACGCCAACAAAGATTGCAGTCATAGAGAATCCAGCTTCGTCAAAGCTTTGATTGTTTCCAACATGGTGATGCAGCCTTTGCTTGGCTGGGGTTCAAGGCGAACACACCCATCATGGTCATCAAGAATAAGAGCAACCTGATCGTAACTAATCCTACTGAAGTCCTTGAAGCTGTTCAGCGTGCAATGCTGCCTTTCTTGAAAACGCAGTCTTGCATTCCCACAGTGCCCGGTACCAGACATCACAGGTTTGTATCTCCAGCCGAAAATCCTCTAAGGACTCCCGAGCTGTTGCCGTGGCGGGCTCCTGAACTCCAAGCCCTGCCAGACCTTCTTCGCATGGCCACAGCGCGTGCCTTCAGGACACGATTTCCACAACTCCGAAAGAAACCGATCGTGCTCCAAGCACCACCTTTGTTGGAAATTGAACAAAGCAAGAATAGGTCTATCCACACGAGCTGTAACCAACCTCTCTCAACTAAACTATACACCGCCTACACCAGCGCAAGATTTGACCCACTGACTCGATGGAGGGAAGCCTGGCTCCCACCCTGCGCACGAGGCGCGCGTAAAAACAACCAAAATGCACAATGTCTCGTGGCAGCTTGCTCTCACGCTTCTTGGGTGGCTTGTGCATCAACCATCCGAAACTTGTTGACCTGTCGCAGGACTTTGTTGGTCATACCCTGCTGACCATCACCCCCACCATCGCCACCACCCCCAACCATCACCACCATCACCATCACCACCTTCACACCACCACTACCATCACCACCATCAGCACCAGCAGCACCACTACCATCATCACCACGTTTAGATCTCTAGACTTTCTGCTTCTACACCTTTAGAACCTTCGACCGTTAGACGCATTGTTGGTCTTTTACCGAGATATCGTTTTCATATTTTACCTGGGAACCCAAGGTATCCACTAGCATATATATATATGTCTCAAGTGAGTTGATATCACCAACAGTTGATGCACGGATCCACTGTATACGTTTAGACGTTTCGGGGGATTCCCACTGCTCCCAGTCGGTGTAGGAAGAATGATCCATTATAGTTAGGTACCAAAAGCATCCAAAAGGTTCTGCAGAGGCTGCTCCAGAACAATCATGTACTAGACATCCCTTCCTCCTCCTCATCAATAAATACATTCGCCTGAAAACTAAGACCTGCATCTTTTGGTCGTACCACGTACACCTGGGAAGATTAACATGAAACCTGAAAATGGGCCTTTGGAAGACAATTTT